TGTAAGACTCCTCCATGAGGGGTTATGACCAAGCCCCTGGCATTGATACACGTGCCCAAGCAAGTTAGTTGTCCCATGGAGCAAGATTGCTCAAGTGGCAAGTGATTCCAGGGAGGGGGGTGTCCCCATCTTGAGTTGCCAGGGCGGGGCCTTGTTCACCTCAAGCAATCACCCTCTGAACCAGGAGTCTCATGGCAGGCCTGCGAAACCACTTCCAGAATCCGGCCGCTGGGTTAAGTTAAGTGACTTGACTAAGGTCCACTGGGAAATCAGTGGCAGAGCATGCACTAGAACCTTTCCCTTCCAATTCCTAAATTAGACCCATAACTACTTCATTAGAGTCCTTTTGTGCCTATTTACCCCCTCTTTTATTGGGGTGCTGTAGATTTCCTCTTCCTGGCCCGCTGTCTGCAGCCTGCTATGCCGAGGGCCCTTGCTGTGTGAAAGAAGTGGAGGAGGTCCTACACCGTTCCCTCTTTTCTCAGAAATGCCACAGTGGGATCAAAGCCGCTGCCATGCTGTTATTCCACCCACGGGCCATGCTGCTGTGAGCTGACCCAGCACCCCACGGAGGAAGCAGTGTGACCTATCCATGTCCTTTGGCTTTCCCCAGATCTTTTGCTCACCTGCAGAGGGCTTTTTAGCCCACAGGAAAGGCAGCTGGAGGAGTTCCCTTCTTTCCCCCCCACATGCACACCCCTGTTAATCAACGTCTCTTTACAGCAGCCGGGCCAGATCCTTGGGTGGAGTACATCAGCATGGCTCTATTGACTTCAGTTAAGCTATGGACAGTGGTGGGTCTGGCCCCATGGATGTCAATGTGGCAACGACTTTGTCCACCAACTGGGGATATGACTCCACTCAATCCATTTGGAGCAACACTAATTTATACTCTGCAGTGGGGCTTTTCCGCTCCCTCCCCCTGGAATTACCCCTTTCAGAGCTGCTGCCTTAAAATCTGCCATTTGTCCTCAGGGCAGCGAGTGCTTGGGGATACGTCCCCAGCCACGGGTCCATTATGAAATAAATCAGACAATGGGAACCTTCTTATTTACCCCACCTTTTGAGGCTGTGGCTCCCGAGAGTCCCTTCATTTCCTCTCTCGAAAGCGACACCTTTGCAAATCATAGAATCCTAGCACACTAGAACTGGAAGGGACCTCGAGAGTCATCGCGTCCAGCCCTCTCCCCTCACGGCAGGACCGAGCACCGTCTAGATCAGGGCTACTCCACTTTGGAAGCCTCGGGGGCCACGATGATACTCCCAGCACATGCCGAGGGCCGCCACTCAAGTGTGCTTGCATAGACATGCAAATAGATATGCAAATAGTTTCTTTCACACTGACGGGCATGACTACAAAGATCAAGGCAAGACTACACAACACGCAGGCCCTATTTAAGTCAGTTCTGCTGATAGTAATAAAATACAATAGTCACCCAATTTCCACCCACAGGACAGCACTTTTAATGACAGTCCAGGAATTTAACTACTAAAATGTGTATCAACAGAAGACCATTCTATTGACTGCTTTTTGGTTTTGGCTCCCACCATGTAAACCCAAATTGCACCGCGGGCCTCAAACAAACAAGCTGCGGGCCACACATTGAGTAGCCCTGGTCCAGATCATCCCTGACGGGTGTCTATCCAACCTGCTCTTAAATATCTCCAATGATGGAGATTCCACAACCTCCCTAGGCAACTTATTCCAGTGTTTAACCACCCTGATTGGGCCCTGCTGAGGAGTGTTTAGCACAAATGACTTGAAAAGTGATTTCTAATGACATGGGGAGGGGGCTTCTCATTTTCAGCCTGGCTATTTGTGGTCCAGGAAGATCTGAATGTTGTGTACAGCAACGGGGCAAAACCATCCACTCGTTTATCTCACCGTTGCTGGCTCAGGGATGTATTTGGGATGTAATCTTGCTCTTTTTCTCATCCCCACCTGAAGTCAGTGCAATGACACTAATGTACACCTGCTGGATATCTGGCCCGCTTTCTGCCTACAGGCTGAACCTCTCTAGTCCGGTATCCTCGGGACCTGAGCGGTGCCGAACCAGAGAATTTGCTGAACCATGGGGGGGTCAATATTGTCTAGCAGCATTACCAATGCTCATTCTGCTTACTAGGCTGTTAGAGGACATTTACAGGTAAACTGGAGCTAAATCACAGCACAGAACACGGAGAGCCAGGACTGGGGGCTGCAAACAAACTTTATGGACTGGCGGGAAACTTGGCCACACCCACAGGCATCTAATTAAAATCACGCTGGACCACGGAGGTTGCCAGACCGGCAAGTGCCGGATTAGAGAGGTTCATCTTGTATAGGGAAACACACCCACCCACACCCACAATAGTCAAGGGCCCGACAATATCAGCTGTGTATCAGAGATGATCTAAGGAAGGTAGGTTGGCATGAGGCTCCCCGCATTTGGTGATCCTTTGGAGCAGGGTGCACGGACGTGCACCCGGGGGCTGCCGACACCCCTCTGTTCCACTGCTCCTAGAAACGCCGGGGCGGGGAAGAGGGGGGATTTACTCTCTTCCTTCCAGCAAAGGAGCATGTTTGATGTGCACGGCAAATCCTGCAGCCTTATGTTTCCCATCACTGAAGGGAAGGGATTGGATTTGCCCCTCACCGGGCTGGCTAAGGAGTGGGGGAGCAGTCTGAGGCCTTGGCAAATGGAGTTCAGCCCTCCTCTTATCTCTTGGGAAAAGGGGAATCGGATCATGTCGCTCGACTGGCCGGTCTGATTCCAAGAGCTGGCCCGTGGGCACAGCCCCTGTGAGCCCATCTCTCTCAGCTGGGCCTGGCCAAGGGACAGGGGGCAACTCCCGCAGTGACCCTCCTAATGCACAGAGGGCACACACACACACACACACACACACACACACACACACACACACACACACATCCGGCCGCCAGACAAAAAGGCACCTACTTTGATGCTAGCTGGGTCAAACTGGACTTCCTTGGGCGGCTCCGGTTCTGGGGGCTTCGGCGCTGCCTTCGGTTCCTCTTTCTTGGGTTCCGGCTTCTTGGGCTCCGGCTTCTTCGGGGGCATGTTGCTTTTCCGACCGCCGCACGCCGCAGGAAGGAAAGAGAGACAGAGGGGGGGGAGCCCGGCCGAGGGGAACACAGAGCACAAACCAGGGCTCCGCCAGAGGTCTTTATCCCTGCCGTCCCTTAATGTCACACATTGTGTCCTTCCCCCAGCCTGTCACATGCCCAGGCCCACAATAGGGGCACGGCTATAAAAGGACAAGACATGTACCCTGCTATTTTAGAGCCGTCTCTTATGGCATTGTTATGAATTAGCACTTACATGGAAAGAAAGTTTGGGGATGTCAGGCATGACACTGGCCCAAGATCAGATGTTTGTGGGGGGAGGTTAGGGGAGGTTCCTGTCTTTGTTCTATGCCCACTGGCCTCTTTGCCGTTCACCTGCGGCTGAGTGGGTCGCCCTCCAAGCACGGGCCTGAATTCCTTGCCTTTGCGCACCAGGCCTGTCTCCAGGGCCGCATTATGACTTTCGTGGGCCCCTTCCTCCATAACAAAAAATATAAAAATTATTTCTGATATAACTTTAAATACTTCAACATTTTTTTTTCTGTTTTAGGCCAAATGTAATAGATTTCCGTGGGCCCTAAAAGTTTCCTTTTTTTCTGATGGGAGAAAAAAATTAAAACATTTTCTTCGACCCTACAAGTTCATTTTTTTTCTTCTGATTTTAAAGGAAATTAAAACATTTTCGTGGGCCCCTAAAAGTAGCGTGGGCCCTAGGCATGGTGCCTACTGTGCCTAATGGATAAGTCGGCCCTGCCTGTCTCGTTTTCTGACGTACGTGCTCTGATTCTAAGGGAAGAGAAGGCAACACAGGGGTGTCCACACTGCAGTGGGAGCCCTGCTAACACGGGCTCCTGGGGCATGGTGGTGGAGACGTTCTGTGGAGGCTGCCACCTGGGATCTCCCATGCCGCAGGATCCTGGAGCCAGGCCTGCAGCCCCAGCTCAAACGCCCACACAGCACGTAAACCACCCCTGAGCTGCAGTCCGCTGACACGGACCCGTCGCGGCTTTAGAATTGCAATGTAGACACACTCTTAAAAACCTTGGCCAACGCCCTGCCTGCTGGTCTCATACCGACAGGCCTCTCCCAAGGGTGATTAAAGGAGCCAAGATAGCCGGCTAGGTCACCGAGGCAGCAAAACGCAGCTCTGCGTATGTGACCGTGCCACTAAAAATCTCTAGCGCGGGAAGGATTTGACGGTAGCGGCTGAGCTTTCTGAAACCGTGTAGGGTCTCGAGCGATGAGTCCCCATTCAAATCCAGAGGAACGGCGGACCCCATGTCCCAGCAAAGTTTTGAGGTGCTTAGTTCTGATTTTAAAAATAAATAATTTTTTAAAAAGCCCCCATCACCTTCAACATATCCCTATTTCTTTGCAGGGGGAGGGATAGCTCAGTGGTTTAAGCATTGTCCTGTGACACCCAGGATTGTGAGTTCAATTCTTGCAGAGGCCATTTGGGGCAAAATTTGCCAGGGATGGTACTTGGTCTTGCTGTGAAGGCAGGGGACTGTACTCAATGACCTTAGGTCCATTCTAGGAGATAGGCAATTTCCATTACTTTTTTATGTTTTTTTAACATAGGGACTAGGGCAGCCTAGTCTTCTTCCAAGCATCCCTAGAAATGATGCATCTTCCCCCTGTTCACAATCTACAATGCATTGGGGGCGTCCCCGCTGGTTCAGATGAACATCAGTTCCAGTAATATTCTCACGCTCTCTGTGGTTTGGGGGAGAGGGGGTTAATGCAACATTCCGGGGTTCTACCAGGCAAGCCCCATGTGTACTCTCCCTCATCTTTATTCCCTTACTCCCTCCATCCATCTGTCTGCCTCCACGTGTGGTATTGCTTCTACTTCGATTGCAAGCCTTTTGGGACGGAGACCATCTTTTTGTCCTGTGTTGTGCAGCTCCGAGCACAGAGAGGCCCCGGTCCATGACTAGACCGTGTAGGTGCACGGGTAGTACTAAGGATAAATGAAATAACAGGTGCACCTAGAAAAAATCAGGGCTGTCGACTCTGTGCCATTCACCCAGAATTTCCCTCCTGCGAGCCAAGCTGGGGGTAAAAATAATCCAGAAGCTTGGCCTGCTTTTCTAGCCTGATGTTCAGTTTCATCCTCTGCTCCGCTGGCTATTCCCTGATTTTAAGAGATCACCCATCAGTGTGATCAGGGTGTCGGACACAGATCAATGTTTGGGAAAGTAGCTTGAAGATCTCTTCCTGGCTCCTACTCCTCTTCCGCCCCTCCGCCCTTCTTTGTTTCCCCCACCCCACTTTGTGTTTCAGAAGAGGCCAAACTCTAGACCTTGGAATCTACATGCAAGTTGACTGAGACAATATGTACCATGCTCCCTGCCAAACAGAAGGTCGGCTGTTCTTCGGCTCTCCTAGACTGAATGCCAACCAGAACTGCACACCCTGACGGCATCTCACATTTCGTTCCGCTCTATTTGGTCCGGCCTGTCTCCAGTTGTCTCCACTCAGGCACAACCCAGGGGAAATGTTTGGCACGAGATGCGGTGGGTGGGCCGTGAACCCCGTGGAAATGACACAGGCGAGTGTCTCCACGCGCCAGGATGAACAAGCGCGGCAAAGACCTTGCTGTGACAAAGGCCGGGCAAGATGCCCAGCATCTAAAAGAAGCACGTCGACTCAGAACTTCCCAGACTCCCTTATCTCGCCAGTTCCCAGGATAGATGCTGTTCCAAAGCCACAGAGCTGAGAGTGTGACGGAGGCGAGGAACGAGGAAAGGCAGCGCTTTATCTGCTCACACGCATGAGAGCAGTTTTCAAGTACCTAAAAGGGTGTCACAGGGAGGAGGGGGAGAAATTATTCTCCTTGGCCTCTGAGGATTGGACAAAGAAGCAATGGGCTTAAATTGCAGCAAGGGACGTTTAGGCTGGACATTAGGAAAAACTTCCTACCTGTCACTGGAATAAATTGCCTGGGGAGGCTGTAAAATCTTCATCTCTGGAGATATTTAAGAGCAGATTGGACAAACATCTATCACAGATGATCTAGAGCAGTGTTTCTCAACCAAGATGAACAAGTTTTCTCCCTCCTCCTTATGACACCCTTTTAGATACCTGAAAACTGCTCTCATATCCCCCGTCGATCTTCTCTTTTCTAAACTAAACAAACCCAATTCTTTCAGCCTTCCTTCATAGGTCATGTTCTCTAGACCTTTCCTCATTCTTCTTGTTCTTCTCTGGACCCTTTCCAATTTCTCCACATCTTTCTTGAAATGTGGTTCCCAGAACTGGACACAATACTCCCACTGAGTTCTAACCAGTGCAGAGTAGAGCGGAAGAATGACTTGTGCAAACTCCTGTGCCTGTACAAACTTGTACAAACTTGTACAAACTCCTTAGTGCTACCCTCCAGAGAGGTCCCTACTCATGGGGCTCCCTTACAGGGCTGACACGAAAGGGGCTAGAGCAGTGTTTCCCAAACTTTTCGGCATCACGCCCCCTTTTTGATTTTGCAACAGCATCACACTGCTGACTCATATCCAGCTTGTGGTCCACTATAACCCCTAGATCCCTTTCTGCAGTACTCCTTCCTAAGGAGTCTTAAGAACAATAAGCTCTTTCGAAAGACGCTGCACCATGGACGCCGCTCAATTGGCGTAGCGTATTTCGAGTTAAGCCCTGCTGTGTAGATGCTCCCTAAAAGGGGAGCCGCAGAGAAAGGAAGGGGCCGGGCAAACTCCTGTGCCTGTGCGGCTTAGTGCTACCCTCCAGAGAGGTCCCTACTCCAAACTCCTGTGCCTGTACAAACTTGTACAAACTTGTACAAACTCCTTAGTGCTACCCTCCAGAGAGGTCCCTACTCATGGGGCTCCCTTACAGGGCTGACACGAAAGGGGCTAGAGCAGTGTTTCCCAAACTTTTCGACATCACGCCCCCTTTTTGATTGTTAAGAAACCTTCACGCTCCCCCTCCCCCCAAATAGCAGCAAAACTTGTTGAGCAAAAAAAAAAAAAAGGAACTGACCGGGGCTGCAAACTTTGTGGGGGAGGGGCTGGGTTGCCTCGTGCCTCCCCCCACGGAATTTCGTCACACCCCCCAGGGGGGCACACAACCCAATTTGGGAACCCATGGGCTAGAGAGAGCTGTGAGAGAGATGTGCACCCACGAACAGCCTCTCGGTTGACACAGGCCAGAGGCCAGTGTTGTCGATCTGTATGGGCCCGGGGGGACTTACCTATGGGTGTATCCAACACCTTTACGGGTAGGTTTTTGTGTCATCAGGGAACTTCCTCTGCTGCAGGAGGAAGGGCAGAGACTAGAGTGGATGATGGAGGCCATCTAAGTAGCAGAGACAGAGCGGTGGACAGGCAGCGTGGTAAGCATGAAGGTACCCCCCCTTGGTCACAGTGGGTGGAGATGGATGCTTAAGCAGAAGGAGGGAGGAGGTGGAAGGGATCCCCAGTTTTCCTCGATGCAATGACCGCCCATGCCCGCCCATGCGCCCTTTGGAGCGTTATCCCCATCTGGGGAGGTTGCTGAAATCCTTCAAGGCTCTGATCGCTAGAGGCCACACCGCTGCTGTCCCATTGGCATCCCAGGCCGTGGCAGGTGCTGTCGGCATTAGTGACAATTTTGCCTCATCTTAATAGTCTTTCAGGGGCAGAAAAACACGGTTTTCTGTGTTCAGTCAGGCTCACACGACAAGTGCAGGTGGCAGCTTTCCTGCGCCAGGAAGCTGTTGCCAACGTCCCCCGAGAATCGTTTGCTCCACGCGAGGGCTGCTGTGGAGCTTCTGAAATGCGCTTGGTTTTTTTAATGTTATGAGACGTTCCGCCTAAGTGTTGGCCTGGGACAATCACCTCAGTCAACAGAGCTCATCGGAAAATGGGCTTTTTCCAGAGATAAATGTCACTTGTCATACAAAAATATCAAAGAGCGAAATATTTCAGGGCCACGCTAGAATATTCCAATTCGGAAATGCTGCCGTGTTGCCTCATGGGAGTTGTAGTCCAAGTGCCTTGTGCTCCCATTTTCCTCCATCAGTTCATCTCCCTCATTGGACTACACCTCCCACGTTGCACCAGTCTTCCCTCACAGTGAGGTGAGAAAAGTGCATCATGGGAATTCCTGGGAGAGGGATGGCAGCCCATATAAAAATGAAGGGATAAGGAA